TCTGGAACATTTTTGCTGTTGCAGAGCTGTTTTGTCCTTCAGAATCATAGCAATGGGCTCTGCAAAAGGGATGAGATGTATCACCCATGAACATTTGACGAGACTTAGAATACCTGTTTTGACTCTGTAGCCTACCGGAGTCACTATCATGAAATGGTGCCTTGCTGTGCTGCCCTTGACTTTTATGAATGGGTCCTATCTGAAACAGGCTTGGGGAATTGTCATTGTATTGGTGGTAAAATGTGGTGGACACAGCCCAGGACCCCTGGCAGCAGCCCCTGTACGAAGCTAGTAAATCCTATCTTTCCCAGAGAATCTGGCAGGCTTTATTCTTTATGACAGTCAGAGCTACAGATGCATGTTCTTTTCTCCCTTTTCACCTTGGCTGCCGGGAAACATAATTATTGAGGCTTAACTGTAGTGATGGTGGGGAAGTTTTGGCCTATCGAACTACATTCTGTGTACTCCTTATGTCTCTTCCCTGTTAATTTCTCAACTCCAGGTTTCTACATTTCTAATTAATTGTGTTTCCTTGAAAGTTACCTCAAATTTTGGGAAAATACAGGTTTGTAAAACAAAGGACTCAGATCATTGGAAGAATGAAGTTGAAGGCTACAAAATTTTCTCAATAAAATTGAACTAAATGTTAGGGAGAAAATAATAATGGAAGGTCCTTCATGTATTTCTTAGGAAAAATTGTTGTTCCTGGCTAGGAGACCAGGAACAATATTTATGGTCTTGAACATGTGTCAAAGCACACCAGTTACAAAGTGGGTACAATGGGATTCCTGCCTAGACTTCCCTGAAGAAAATAATAGAATATTTCTTAAGATATATGGAGGGCATCAGAAAACTATGCAAGTGTTTGCAAATCCATAATCTGATGTGTGGAGAACATGTGACCAAGGGTAAGTCAGAACGACGTTACCAGGAAAGTATCCCATACCCTACTTGATTTTAAAAAAACAAGACAGTAGTTTCTTGTTACATATGCCAATATTTTCATAGCAGAAGTGACAGCAATGTCAACTCTTTGGATATCTGCTCAAGTCTCATTCTGGCAAGGACAGAGCTATCAAAGACTTCCTCTGCCTACCTGACAATTTCATCTCTCAGAAGGTAGAGGAACCGGTGAGGAAAATGGCTGCTCTCAAGTGAATTGTGATCAGTAAAAAAGGAAGTGGCTGGAAATGTAGAAATTCTGAGAATCTCAGGAGAGATGGTTTCATTGTCTTCGCCCCCTCACAGAACTCCCAGAGCTCTTTATTTAGATCTTTACTTACTTCGCCTTACAATATTGTCACTTATACACTTGTGTCTCTCTTTAAGGTTGTCCATTGAGGACTAGGAAGACATCATATCATCTTTGTGTCTGCCACTGTTTGGGGCAGTTATCTTTTAAACACAAAAAAATCGATCAAATGTGTTTACTTGGAATATGAGCATAGAAACTTGCATAATTTCAGAGTAATCTGACAACATTCTTTGTTAAATTTTTTCCTTGATCATAAAATGTTTTTATTGTTGAAAACTGAAAAAATTATTCAGGAAAGTATAAATGAGAAAATACAAACTTTCTATAGTCCTCCTAGCCTGCTAAGCATTTTAAAGTACTTTCTCCTTGTGATTTATTTATTTACTTTTGAGACAGGGTATCTCTCTATCACCCAGGCTACAGTTAGTGGCATAAACATAGCAGCCACTGCAACTTAAAACTCCTGGGCTCAAACAATCCTGTCTGAGCCTCCCAAGTGGCTAGGACTAGAAGTGTGTGTCACCAGACTCAGCTAATTTTTAAAATTTTCTTGTAGAGATGAGTCTTGCTATATTGCCCAGGGTGGTCTCAAACTTGTGGCCTCAATCAATCCTCTGGCCTTGGCTTCTCAGTGTTGATATTACAGGCATAAGCCACTGTGCTCAGCCTTTCCTTATGTTTTATACTTAAATATTGTTTCATACTTTTAATCATACTATATCTACGGTTCTGTTCCCAACACTTTTTTTCACGTTATATCCTAAGCATTTTCCATGTCATTAAAATGTCTTCATTTTAAAATAACTTCATATTATCTTGTATGTCTTTAGCATAACCACTGTGATTTAAAAAATAAAGCAACGTAGGGATTTTCACTGGCTACAAGTTCTAAGAATTGTGGTATGTCTGAGAAGTCAAAAGGAAACCATTTCACCTGTAATAGCAAGATCCAGCAGGGCAGGGGAGACAGGTGAAGCCCCAAGTTCTCCCTCCGGTTTTGGGTTTTATCCTGAGTCAACTGTGGTGCATCTGGAAAGTTAGCTATGATGTGGAGTGATCCGGGCTGACACGGAAGAGTTAAAGCTGGAAGGACTGCTCGACCCAGAGAAGGGCAGAACCATGGATCACGTTTCCACACTTGAAGTATGACTGACTGCGTCTGTGGCATCCGAGTTGGCAGCACTACGGCCGGTAAGTGGGAATTTCAAAGCCACAAATTGGACTCCTCTGCAAACAAGTTTGAGAGCTGTTCCCTAAAGACACCTGATGCCCTGTGAGGTGGGCAGTGCATGGCCCCTGGAGGTGTTCAAGTAGGGCAGGTGGCTTCAAGGATACTAGAGGGTAGAAAATCCCTGCAGTCTGGGTCTTGTATGAGCACTGGAATAACCTACATCAAATCTTAGTCTCTCAGTGTTGCATTATAAAAAAAAAAAAAAAAAAAAAAAAGAACCGTGTTAGAGTTTGTATTTAATTCAAAGCCACGGGTTTTAAATTCTGAACAGCCCAGAGCCCCGCCATAGAGTGCTCGCGCCGAGTCACGTGGTCTGGCAAGGCGCCTGGTTTTCTCCCTAGCCCCCAGCTTCCCTGAACCTTCAAAGTCACATTTCAGTCATTCCCTAGTCTGAGCAACGATGCTCACAAGGAGGGGGCTGCCAGCACTGGTGACGGCCTGCTCGTCTGACCAGGAATCCCAAATTCAAGAACCTGTGACCCGGTCTGTGTGCCCCGAGAGGCTAAACCTCCGCCCAGGGGGCCTCCTGCTGCCCGCGGCCGAGGGGCTGGGTTTCCAGCCTGCAGAGCTCGGGGCCTGATGGCTGAGGAACAAAACGCCCTCCCTCTAGCGGCTCAGGCGCACACCTTCTCTTGCCCTCCGCAGCCCCTGAGCGAGTCACGGGAGACACTCTGGAGCCATTTCGCGGGGCTGAAATACCTTCGCCCGGCGCGCACCCCTCAGCTGTGCCGAGGACCCCGCGCCCTGGATGCCCCGCGGCCACGTGACCGCCATCTGGCTCTAGGCCGGGACTGAGGGGGCTGAGCTCATCGCGTTGCTATTTGAAGAGGAGAGACGGCCTGGCCTTCCTTAAACCCTGAGTTCTGGGCTCTCCTCCCTCACCCACATACTTGACATCTCAGGCTTTTTGTGGAAGGGGCAGGGCGGTTGTGAGAGGTCGGTGACCCTTGTCCCAATGGCGCTGGATCGTTTCCTTTTTGGCTACCCTAATGGAATGAGGATAGAATCAGTCCTATCTTAACATTCACTGACCCCCTGCTCAGGCTGGGAGACACTGCCTTTCTCCTAGCGAATTTTAAATCAGTATTTGTGGGATTTCAGCTCTAATGGATAAACCTACAGCCACTGGCCATGAAGGGTGTGGCAGTGGGGTGAAAAACGGAGCTCTCCCCCGACCCCCTGGCTTTCCTCATCCCAGCCACTATAGTGGGGGGAAATACGTTGACCACAGAGCGACTGCCACACCCTCTTTCCTCTCTTCCAACCCCAGAATTCCACTTCAGTCTCAAGCTTTCACCAAGGTGGGGTTTACCCCAATGGTGCCACAACCCCTTTAGTTATATGGGAGCGGCAACCGTGAACCACCACCACTGGCTTGATCCGTTTTCCGTGGACTGGTGCTCCTAAGTGTGTTTACCGGTTTCAGTATATAATGTAGCCAGATGGAGCCGGGGCGAGAAGCTAGAACAAAACTAAGGTTAACAAAACCGAAGGTGTCCAGCAGCCTGAATTGCATTTCTCTCCTACCTTTGGTCATAGGAAAGAGCACTTAGGTGTGTGGCTGGAACGCAAAATGAGACCACAGCTTACATTCTTAGCAGCCTGGGTTTGTCTCAAGAGGCCATGTTTCTTTCCTCCCTGACATCTTGCCTTCTGAAGGACCAGTTGGCATCAGAGGAATGTTTCCTTCTCTGAAACAGCCATCAAGTACCGGCGCTTTCTTGGCTCTGGCCAGTTAAGTGTTCTGACCCCTCCCTTATCTAATTCACCCCGCACACCATCCACATTGCAGGGGACGCACCCAGAAATGGAGTGGACTGTATCTTTTCCTTGCCCATTCTTTTTATCACCATGACACAGTCACTGGAAGCCAGGAAATAAATCCTGGATCACCATACTAAAACATTTACTCCACTTTGGGCAGAAGGGGCCTATTTTGCATATGCAGTCCCATAAAGCAGTCACGTGAGGGAAAGAGTTCTGACTCCTCCGTGAATGCTGCATGGGAGCCTCCAATTGGGAGCAGCTGAACAGGTGGTTCTGATAGAGGACCATGGTCATAAATGCATGCATAAGATCATCCTAAGGTCCTTGCCCATGTGCTTCCCTACCACAGGTGGGAGAGCTGCTGTTACTCTGTCCTTGCTAAGCATTGACAAGCAATGAAATAGTTGAGCGGTAGCAGCACGAAAGGAGGAAGAAAAAGGGTCTGGTTCTTTGGTCTTTAAGAATAGACCACTACTGGTGTATTTTGGGCTGCACATTTGCTGAGATGACATGTGCTGAGCCAGTGGTTGAAGTCTCTGGTCCTTACACAGATTTAAATAACCAGCAAGAGGGGGTGGAAAGGTTTTTCCAATTCCTTTCAAGGAAGAGTATTTTGAGGATATAACGTATCTGACATAACTTTCAACTCACTTTCAAACCAATCTACTGAGCTGAAGAAAGAGATCAGAAATGAAATGAAATTCTCATATATACTTAATCTACTTAAAAAAAAATTGACAGGAAAAATAAAATTTCAGATGTTTTTTATTCAAAGGTTCTCAAAAGAAATAAAACAGAAAAGCTAACAATCTGATCAAATGTACAGTTCAAAAATGTCTTTTGGCGTTTAACAACAAGTCCTAGGAAAGAAAACTACAGAGTTATCTTGAACCGGACAAATAAGTTACCACTGGCAAGTCTGTGGCACTAGTAAAACAAAAATAAAAAATTAACTCTCTTGATCATATAGATATCTCTATGAAAATCTTTTTTTTCAATCTGTACAAAAGGTCTTTCTTCATAAATTAATTTTTTTTATAATTTAATGGCTGTCTACTATGTGATGTTTAACTGATTTTTTTTTTTTTTATGTACAGAGGTTATGTTTCCCAAATCTTACCCAGACGAGTATGGCACTTAGTTCAGACATTCCTAGCAGCAGATTTCCCCTCCCCTCTAACCGAGCTATCAAATTTCTGTCTTAACTAATGCAAAAATATCAAGTAGTGAGAGACCCAGGTTTATAACTGTACTAGGTACACAGAGGGTGCTGCGTTCAGTCTGGACTTTCACAAAGCAGTAATATTCCAGGGAGCATAGAACCAATAATACCACAACTTTAAAAAAAATGAAACAAAAACAAAACAAAAACACATTTCTCTTATGACTATGTAATTTTCACTAGAATCTACACTTCTCAGAGCAGCAAGGACTTTTGAAACTATGAAATGTCACTGACATCTATCATCAAATACAAGCATAAAATTTAAGAACTAAAAAATACTCAAAAGAAATAACTGCTTAGCCCTAGCTCCTGAGCTAGGAGGATTTGGTCTGTGGAAACAGGGAGGGCCAGCAACCTGTCCCAGCACAAAAGAAAATAGACTCTGAGGTAGATAACTGATCATACACAGCTGACCAGACAAGTACACAGTTTTGGAAGACAACTTAATTTACCATTGCTTTTAAAACATATGCAATTGCCTTAATAAAAGAGCTTTAATAACAGTGAATTATCTTATATGTACTAAAGTAGAAATAACTGTGTATTTATGAATCAGGAATTTCATAGTTTCAAAATTGGTTTTCTTTACACTTGAACACTTGTAGTGATGATGTAAAGTGTGGCACTGCTTGGATCCAAATCTTCCTTCATGCTTGTTTGTTTGTGTGTGTCCATACATCAATTAAAATTATAAAACCTAAATGCAAAGGTACAAAAAAGGCACATTCTCCTAACCGCAAACTGGTCCGGCAAAAATAAAGAGCACAGAAGATGTGATGCTGAGACAAGTTGGAGCTACTGGTTACTGGCTCTTCGGTCTTTGGTGAAGTTACCTTTAAAAGTGCCAAGTCATTTTTATTTTTCAAATTTACCTAATAGAGAGAGAGAGAGAGAGCTAGTAGCCAATCATTTTGCTTCTATTCATATCTCAGCTTATGTTTGAAGATAAAATCCTTACTTTTAGCTTTTGCCACTTTGTTGCAATAGCAACATTTTTCGGTTTGCCAGATTTCAGGCATAATTCTCATTCTAAAGCACTATCATTAGTATAAAGGAAGGACAAAACATTCAGTGACTCCCATCCCCCGCCCCCCATCCCCAACCCCCAACGCTACCTACACTAAATCTAGAACATCAAGTTAGTTTTTTTTTTTTTCCTGAAAAAAGGCAAAAAAGACTTTACATTGCATCATACAGCAGATATCCTAAATCAGTCAAACTATCAGAGGAAGCTGTTGGCGTACAGCCTTACAAACAATTTACCCTAACAAAAGTTCCCCAGTCAGAAAATGTGTTTCACACAAAACATTTTTCCCTTCTTGCATATCACTACCTTACACATTATGTGAAAAATCATTAAAAACACCTACTACATATTTAAAAAAGCCAAAATTTCAGCAACTTTTATTGACTACCTTTTAAAAGCCCTATGCTGCTGTTTTACAAGGCATAATAGACCAGCTCATTTGGTCAAAGCATTCTACATCATTAGTTTGAACTAACTTTTACTGAAACAGCTACAGCATCAAAAGAGTTAAGGCAAATTGGAATTCATAGAAAAGGATAAGACACTTCACACTACGTTGAAAGAAAGACAGAAAGCTAAGAAAAGAGACACTGACGGCAACACTGAATTACAGCAACACTCGCACTGCAAGCACAGAACACCATGGGTGAAGTCGGACTATTTAAACTTCAGAAAGCCCATTTCATACAGCTGGAAAAAAAAAACACAAATTAAACACAAAATGAACAAAACCACAAAAATCCGGTCATGCACTTGGATAAGTCTTCATGGTCTTTGTGCATACCCAGAAAATTGAAGTTTTCTTTTCTTTTTTTTTCTTTTTTCTTTTTTTTTTTTTTTTTTTGCATTATTAAATTTTATAAAAAATCTTTGTTTTTGTTTTTTGTTTTTGTTTTTTTACTAAAATAAACCTGTTCAGGGGAACAGCTACTAGATGAATTTAAGGGTTTTATGCACCTTATAGAACTTATAGCAAAAATAGTTTTAGTTGATTTCATTATAAATAACGTTTTCAAGAACCTGTGCAAAACTGTCAATAATTTCCTAAAGCACAATTGATCAGAAAAATCCATGATTGTTCAGCCTTCACACCCTTCTTCATGTAAGAACACCTTTCTGTACATCTGGAAGAGAAAAATAAAAGACAAATGCTTTTATAGATTTGGTATGATATACTACACAGATCTGTAATCTGTTTCTTGTTTTAAAGAGATATGTGTTTGAAAAAGGCTATGCTCATCACTTGTGGTAGACTGATAAATGCAAACTCTAGAATTGATGGTTACTTTTAATGCCTCTCACATCCAGGACTTGCAAGATATCTTCTTCTCTAATTTAGAGCCAAATTCATGTGGGTCTGTAAAGAGTGACTTTATGAAGTCAGAAATACCTATGATCATCAGGGCAATCCAGAAACCAGGGCATTCTAAGTTCTTCACAGCTATTTTATGAAAGACTGCATGATAAAATGAAAAGTTTTGAAATTCGAGGTTCAAGTGAGAGCTGGAAATATCTTTCAATCTAAGGATATTGACATTTATCTAAATTCATAATCAAGATGTTACTAAACTTGTAATGCCAGATTAAGCAACATCTTATGCTATAGGTCCTCCAGTTTATGATTATTAAAGCAATATAATACAGGATACTTGTATTATAGGACAATTTTGGTAATTGGTGTTCTCTGATGTCACAGATATTAATTTTTTTCTTTTTAGTGGGGAGAGTAATCATACATTTGGCTTTAATATAAAGTGTTCTCTTTGGACAAAATGATTAATTTTAAATTCATAAAATCATTGATTTAAATTTTTCAACTGGATGCCTTGGCCATGATTAAAGCAGCATGATAAAATCTGAGTTAACCCAATCACAAGTTTGATTTAAAAAAAAAAAAACCCTATAGATTGTGCTTGATTTGAGCTCCCCCAGTTGTGGAGACCTTTCCTTCATACCTCACAGTTACTTATTGGGTTGAAAGGTATATGGAGAATGGTCATTAGACGTCTCGACAGCCACCTGCTGTTGACCACTTGCCTCCTACAACAAACAAAGCAGAATGGATGAGACACGTTAGTGAAAAAACCTCAGCTCTGCTACTGAGGCCTGAGTCCAGCAGTGCCTTAAAAACAGTTACTCTTTAAAGTAAGTTTCTTCACATCATGTAGAGCTTTCAAAGTTAATCATTTCCCTAAGCAGCTGCCATGTCTAGTAGACCCAAAGCACCTCCCATCCAAATGTTTATGACTTTCCTATTCTTATCAAGCTACAGCATATCAAACAAATCTCTTACCCTCTTATCCCCTGGGGACAGATGTGACTTGTAATTCAGTGTTTTCAAATTTTATAATCTGAAAGATGGTATGCATATGCTGTATATAGTATGAAGCCTCCAATAGGGTCTAGGGCTGTACCTCATAATCAAACGTATGAATAGTTCTACATTGGAAGGCATGAAGCAGCACAGTTACGTGGGATCAAGATTTTGTATCATCTAAGTTCAAGATGGGTTTTGCCATAGGTCAGGTTTTATGCTGAAGCAGTTACAAAGATAATTTTTATTTCTTTGAGTTTCAGATTGCAGATAAGGAATTGTGAGTTCTGGTAATTGTGGTTGTCAGTAATTGCACAAACAGAAGTAAAATACCACCACCACCACCACCACCACCACCACCACCACCACCAGGCCAGAGTCCTATGGTCCTTTTCTGGAATCAGAACCTTTGGGATCTGCCTAGTGCGTAAGATCAGCTGGATTGACATAATTCCTTGAAATTTTAAGGATACTCTGCAGGAAAATGCTAAGCTTTCTCTCTAACCATAATTCAAATGCCAGACTTCTTTCGTATCTTCCATAACAAGAACAGTTATCTAGCCATACTAACAGTCTTGTAAAAACAGGTATGGTTTCTTCCTCATCCCTGTAGCAGTTTTGAAACAGCTTCCTCTTTTCCACTAAGTATCTTAATTACAACTGATTTCTTTTCATCATTATTATCATTGATACGATCAATTTCTTAAAAAATTAATTTTTTTTGTAGAGACGGGATCTTGCTGTGTTGCTCTGGCTGGTCTCTAACTCCTGACCACAAGCAGTCTCCCTCCTCAGCCTTCCAAAGTGTTGGATTACAGATATAAGCCAACACATCTGGCTAAACTCAATTGTTGATGCAAATATTTGATGTCTGGTAGACTTTTCTGAGTTCTATTTAATTTACCCATTTCTAAAAGTACTTATAGCCAGAATGGTCACTGGATGGTCTCTACCAACCTCAACAGGAACCGCTGTCGTCTGCATATGTGCATACTGCGGCAAGTAGGCTCCTTGCATAGCTGACGTTGCAGGCATGTACTGGAAAAAAGGAGGAGGTCAGAATGGGCAATGGTAAACCATGCAAAATGTGGAGAAGTTGGGGGAATTGTGAGATGTATATAAAGTATTTGTAAATCTCAAGGAAGAAATTTAAATGGGCTACCTCGAACCTTAAATATTGCATATAAATATGTCATATGGAAGGCAAACCATTTTCTCCTTTTTGAATCTGTTGAACTAAAAATCCCACACTTCTTTGGATTTACTAACAAAGTAAAGATAAAAAAGTTTATCATGGGTGAAGATAAAAAAGTTTGTCACCCTCAAGAATTCAGTGTCACTAATGTGTGATTTTAGAAGATCTCTCCTCAAAGGATCTCATTTTCTAGCAGCTCCCTAAACTAGTACCTGGTATTGTTTCTACAGGTGGAGCCTGCAGGGGTAAATGACCTATTAGACCTTTAACAGGTCACTGCACATTAGGCAGCAGAGCCCTGCTTTTCTGACACCGACAGTCATCCTTTCCCAAAGGCAGGAGAAATTTCTAGTCAATCTCATTGGGTATGTAGGACCCTGGCTTAGCCTTCACGAGAAACTACTGCTGGTTTTGAGTGTATGAGGGGAAAATAGACCACCCTTTGTTCTTTTAAGCCACCAGAGCATACAGGCTAAATTAAAATCCTTTAGCTATCTTACCAGCGAAAATGCTAAGTACCAAACCTGGAAGCTGATCGGGTGCCAGCTCAGCCTCATTACCCAGAGGGGTCTTCTGGACTTTGTTGAAATATTTCAATACTAAGATCATGATTCAATGCTCCCAAACTCCATAAAAGGAGAAATAAGCAAGAAATAATTTCCTGCTTTTGCCACCTTGTATTACCTTCATCTTTTGCTTCATGACGCTGCCACAGGGACAGTGGTACTAGATATAAATGACACTAGTCATAAAAGACTAGATGTGGTCATGTGTAGGTGCTACATTCTTGTTAAGCAGAGATACCCAGAGAATAGACTTTCAGTTCATCAATTAATCAAGAAATCACTGAGTATTTGCTTTATGGAAGGTTATGTTGGGGGGGGGGAAGACGGGGATTAGACATAATCTGTTATCATAGAGTCTGTCATTTGACAGCGAAGATCCAGGCTGCATTAATTTACCCTCCTCTGTTTACAGAGACATATATTAATTTGCCACCTACTGTTCCAGTGCTGCCTAGCGACAGATGACTCATCTGCTGGGCCAGAGGGCTAATCATCGATGCAGGCTGTAGTGACATGGTGTGCTCCATTGAGGGAGTTAGCACGGCACCCTGGGGAGTTGGAGACAAGAGCAAAATTAGACAAACTGAGGCACGAGTTAAGATCCTGTAATTACTTTTGCAAAGGAAATGCCTTAGTTTGTTGGAGGATGTGAAGCAAAAACAACCTCCCTTAATCTTGCAAATGGCATCATAAACAGTTTCCTAAAATCTTCTAAATTGCTCTTCCTGAGAGTTTTGTAAGAGCATTAGGGGAAATAATATCTTAGCATTCACTTCACAACAATCCCTGTATTAAAGCCGCTGTCCCTCCTCTCCCTCCCTTTCCCTTCACTTTGTATAACTAGAAGCAAGCTAGTCCCCCAGAAGGAGCTATCATAGGAAAACCAAACTGATCATCATTGCCTGCCTAGGCTTACAAAATGCTTTTTTAAAAAAAACTGGGAAAAAAAAAAAAAGGCAGTTGATGTTTTCTCTAGTCACAAAACAATATATTATATTTAATATGATCAGTATAGTATTTTGTTTAACAATGTTCTATCCAGATAGTCGTTTGGCTCAAGATCAGGTTGTTAGGATCGATAGCACATTTCTTCATTTGCTCAGTGTTACTCAGAACTTTAAGTTACATTTTGGTGCCTGGGAGGGAAGGTAATTCAGATATGATTAAAAATCTGAGTCCAGGTTCTTTCACTTCATTTGAAAAAATGTTGGTCATTAAAAAGAAGATTAAATATATTTAAGAAAATAGGAGGGAAAACAACAATCACTTCTAACTCAGCCAGTCTAATAGAACCACTGTTAGCTATGTCAGGGCACTACTGCCAGATCGTGGCCTCTGTGTGTTTCTGTACAGGTTCAGTCAGAGCATAACAACAATTTCATATCCTGGGTTTTTACTCTTAACTATGTATCTATTCTAAGCACTGACCTAGCTTACTGCAAAACTATCATTATTATCATTTTTTAAATGATTACATTGATTGTATAAACCAAAATTTAATGAATTCTTTATTTTTGGACTTTTGCAATCACCTCAATATCTGAGAATGCAAGTATTCTGACATGCTTTACAAATACTAATGTATGTTTTGGTATCACTGTACCTGGCATCCCTTAAATACAATGTTATTTATTGATAATTAGACAATCTAGGACAGAGTTAGGTATGCAGGCACTTTAATTCTGATTTAAATCAGGCAATTTAAAGCTGGGTGGGGAAAGGTAATGAATCCTCAGACAGCAACCTTCTGCATACATTCCTAATGCCTCCTCAAAGATGTTAAGCTCAGATATGTGCAGTCTTTTTCTCAAATGTTGCCAAAAAGAAAAAAGATATAGATGTGTGTCAGAGATAATGTTTGTTGTTCACACATTTCGAAAGAAAATTTTTTCTTTTCTTTTTTAACATGCATCATCAAAAAGCATGTGGTAACACGGAAATGACTCAGAAGCCCAGAAGATGGTGAAGGAGTTTCCTGCTCCTTTTTCTCATTCACTGGCACCATCTGTAATAGGAAGTCCTCAAATTCAAAGTAGGTTGATTTCCAAGCATTCCAAAATAGGATAGCATGGATTATCAGGGAGATAGATTGCTATGGGCATGTGTGGATCAGTGCATGTATATTAGGTACACATGTACAGGTAAGTGTGGATTTGAAGGTGTGTGTGTGTGTGTGTGTGTGTGTGTGTGTATGTACGTGTACATGTATAAATATATATGTATATATCACACAAAAGACATATATATATATATATATATCAGAGAACTCTTCTATGTTATCACCTAAACATGTTTTATCTGCTTCTTAAATGTCATCTCAGCAATTTCTCATTTGGAACCTGTATTCTTTGGATTGCTATTTCATACACAGGGTCTTACTTTGCAGTATCCACTTCAAAAGGTATCCCAAGACAAATTCCTGTCTGAACATATGGCCAAGAATAGAGTTCTTTTTCTAAGCAACCAAATCTGTTTTTATTTTACACAAATTGTGAACTGTATTGCTTATCAGGATTCCCATTTTGTATCAGTTACTAGAAAGCTTAGAGCCAAATTTGTGATCTTCTCATGTGAGCACACAGGCCATTGTGTTGGACATCCTTAGCCTTTTTGTAACTTTGTTCTCCATACAGATTTTTCAATTTTCCAACCCTTCTTTTAATTCAACAAACTAGATCTTATGTGTCTTTGAAAAACACACAAAATACAATATATAAGAAGGTAAAGTATGACTCAATTAAAAAAATTTAACATATACAAATGCTCACATGACTAAGAAATCACATTTGTTATTTACCAAATAATGTGCTACCATTTTAGTATTTATAATCTCCATAGAAAGGCTAAGTAAAACTGATAAAACTCTTCATCTCAGTTTTGAACTTTATATTTGTGTTAAACAGAATGTAAAAAATGAGAGCTGTTTTATCCCAAGTACTATTAAAAATTTAGCCTCTCAATTGAATAATGTCTATAGACTGGTATGAATAAGAAAATGGTGCCTGCCTCAAATATGATGTATTTTAAGTTCTTATAGAAAATTCAGTATCTTCTACCAAGTTGTTTTACAAGGATGAGAAGAAGTTTTATAATAAATTTGTACATTCTTGTAGTCTATGTTTAAAATTTCTCAGATCCTCTACCACCCTTGGCAAATGGTTTTAACCCTGAGACAACATACATACAGCTTACTTGTAAAACACAAAGTCATTAAGATGAAAAACTTACGGGGTGCTGTAGAATATATGGTTGGGGTTGCATCCAAGAAGGACTTTGCACCTAGAAAGGGGAGGATTTTGAAAGAAATATTGATTTTCATTGTAAAGCTTACCTATTTCTTTAGAACTCTTTTTAATCATGTTAAAAATCTACAGAAAGAAAACAAGGAAACAATGCTATCAATGATTAAAAAGATTAAGGCAGTTAGAATTCTTGGCAAACTGGTCACTCTGAATAGGATGAAATGATTATTTAGCAACAATTTCTATTTGCCCACTCAAGAAGTAATTATTGAGTATCAGGCAACAAAGAGAAAAAGGCAAAAAAGACATGGGCCCCACCCCCCCAAGAAATTTACTATCTATGCAAGGGAGATAAACACAGAAACAACTGAGCAGTGAAAAGCATTAACAATCAAGGTACAAACTAGATGCTTTAGAAATACAGATGAATGATGATTAATTCCAGCACATCTTATAAGAAGCTAACCCTTAAAGTATGTGCTTATTTAATACAAATAACCAAATTCAATTTCTCTTTGATACCTTAGGACATTAGTTTTAGAAATCTTGTATGGTGGTCAATGATTTCTAGTTAGTGCAGAAAATAAAAATCTGAAATTCAGATTAAGGAAATTAAACTTCAGTAACTAGATTTTGACATCTACAGTCAAATGGGCATCCACACAGTAGACCCTCTGAATTGAGAAATAAGATATGAGAGTCAGGTTTTGTGGCAGGAAAGAAAGTATGTGTAGTCTGCCACTCAAGAGAAAAACATATCAGCCCATTGCTTAATGACTAGAGCTTTCCAGAGTCGATGTAATTTTATAGTAAATTTAAATTTCTAATTCTTAACAACAAAGCCCTCCTGCATTTTATCCCCTATTGTTAACTTCAGAGGTTCAATAGAGAGGATATGGGGAAGAGTCATGGGGGAAGAATGCATTGTGATTTACCTTGATAGCAGAGCCCCGATACTTGTTTTCTCTGGTTTCCTTTGCCACCTAAGGCAGACCAAAGTTAAGTGCTTCTGCCTTGTTAACATTTCAGTTATCTGGACTGTAGCCTTTCCCCATTGGGGTATTGGTGGTTTCTTGCAGCTGCCAATTTCTCAAATTCAATTGCATAAGCTTATGGTGGTTTACTGGAGAAAGGCCCACTCCAACACGAGTGCAGGGCCTTCACTGGATAAATGATGGAAAGGCAAACAACTCCCTACAGACCCTAATTTGGGCCAGATGCCCCCATTTTTAAAATATGCTTCAGTGGTCTTAATAATCTAATAGCTTATAGCATTACGGGGTTAGGGAGCTATGACATCTAATCTAATTTTTTTTCTTAAGCAGCAAATCAGCTGCTGTCCATTTCTATTCCTCAATTTTCTAATTATAAAATGGGAATAATAATGTTTTGTAAACTCTTCACTATTGGTTCTTAACCTCTTTAGGGTCATGGAGCCCTCTGAAAACCTAATTAGAGAAAAATAAAATTTCCCCCACTTAATTGCACATACACAAGCAACATTTTGCAAACAGGAGTTATACATCACTTAAAGCTCATCCACTAATCCTTCTAGGTCCCTGAAGTTATGGGGTTAAAAATCAGTCTTAGAGGCTATGGCACTGAGTGTCAGGCAATGCAGTGATACTCTGTAAGTATCTCAGAAAAATACAGAATGCCCAGGAGAGGAAATAAAGCCTTTGAAATAATATGTTGTTTCCAGTTAGCTATATCAAATTTTTACTGATACTGATCTCCTAATTTTTATTGTACAAAATGATTCTGTGGCCAAAATACACACTGGTTTTATATTAAAGAGGGAAAAAGAGGTGTTGAAGCAATGTGTTAATAGCTGTAATATCTATAGCAACGTAAATTCAAATTAATATTTACAATCTTTCGTTTGCCTGAGAATAACTTACCCTTGCCCCTATTTTTAGTAAGATATAAATGACAGAGGTTTCCAAGTTCAGACAGTTCAGAAAGACTACCTTTTCATACCAGACACAGGAATTATTTATTAGGGAAGTACACTAGAGCAGATCTCACTATACAGGCAAGGAAAGGGTAGGAATCTTAAATCCAAAACAACTAAAGAGAGATTAAATTAGTAGATACTATGCCCAGCAGAATGAAGCACCAGAAAAAGTAACATAAGAACCCAGAGAGAATAAAGAAAAGAAACTGAGTGACATCTCAGGGAAGGGAGGCTCTAAGAGCCTAGAGGCCTAGGAGACTGTGAATGATCCTGTCAACCTTCAGTTTTAGTATATCTAATCATTTCTGTTATTCAAAGCCATTTTTATGTTTTTAGGCAGAATTAGTTTTATGGTATTACTTATTTTGGCCAATTCATTATTTAAAAGTATAACTAACATACTCATTATCAACTACCTAATCCTGCATATTAATGATGATCAGAACAGTCATAGCTAACGTTAACTGAGTACTAATGATATGCCAGGTCCTCGGCTGGGCTCTTTTCACAGTCAGTCTCATTTGGCTTTTATAATTCTCTCAAGCCTATGAGATAAACACTATTATTATCCCCATTTTAAAGATGAGGAAACTGAGGCTTATAATGTTAAAATAACACAACTATTAGATTACATATTGTAGTCCCCTAACCCCAGAAATTAGGACTACAACATCTAATTCAATTGTTTTAAAATCAAGAATACAACAAAAATTTAGTCACACAGGATCCCGACAGTCAATGAAAGGGAACTCTGCTCCCACATGTCTTGCAATTGAACTCCATTATGAGACTCCTATCTGGGCCCAGGCAGCAACCCTGTTAGAGGTTCTCTGACACAGGAGGAGAAATGCATGTACACCACTGGGTCCATGGCAGACAGGAGCCTACCTTTGCATTAAAATCAAATCAGTATAATAACAAGTAAGCTTCATGAGTTTTTGTTTGCAAGTTGGGAATTTAAGGTAAAGCCTCCTTACACAAAAACCTAAACAGGAAGTCACGTCCTTTTTGCTTTTATATTTTTGCCTTAAATGTCAGCTGCATTGCACACTTAATGTTACTTACTAGAGACGCATCTTTATTTTTTTTATCGGTTCTTGCTGATGAATAGACAAAAGCAAGGGTACGCACCTACTCTGTATTATATCTAATGGCAATTATCTTAAGTTTCAATTTTTGGAACACATGGTGTCCAAAAGCAGGGCCCTTTGGTGAAGGAAGTGTTTGGGTTCACTCCAATGCCAAAATGCTATGATTCCAAGGACTGACCACTGACAACCATCTTCCTTTGCTTTACATTCTCCTATACATAAAAGTAAATCACTCTGCCAAATACAAAGCAGCTCATACTAAATTGGGTATCCAAGCTGCAAAATATTTGACTCAAATTTCATTATAAATGCTTAAAATTTTAAGACACATAAAAATGTAGCAGAGATTCATGGTCCACAAGTGGTTATACTGCTGACGAATCCTACGGGTACAAACCTGGTAGGCAGATACAGGAGATGCAATATAGGGTGTAATAGAAGTTTGAGTGATCATTCGGTTTGTAGCAATACTGTATGGTGAAGGATAAAATCTAGAACAAACACAAAAGCCTTTATTAAGTAATCCTTTAAATAGAATAATTCATGGAATAAATGTCTGATATTTTCCACCTTCACATTTTCCCTCAAGCCATTATGCATTTATCTTAATGACATACCCGTTTTGTAGAGCAGCTGTAGTTGGGTCATAAGTAAGTGTCATTCCAGCCTATGGGAGAGAGAAAGAAATATAAACATTGATCTAGAAAGGCATGATTTAAAAATTATATTTCTAGCCAGGTGTGGTGGTGTGCACCTGTAGTCCCAGCTGCTGGGGAGGCTGAGGTGAGAGGATCCCTTGAAGCCCAGGAGTTTAAGGCTGCAGTTAGCTATGATTAAATCACTGCACTCTAGCCTGGGCAACAGAAAGAGACCCTTGTCTCTTTAAAAAAATGTTGGGGGAGGGGTGCAGATTTGTTCTTAAGAAGCATTTAATAAAACTGGGAGTTTATGTTAGTTAAAATAAGTGTAAATATGAGAATTAATCTCTAGACTTGCCCTGACCCATGTGATAGTCATAAGCCACGTGCAACTATTTAAATCCACATGAAAAATCAATCTCTCTAGCATACTAGCTATGTTTCAAGTGCTCAGAGAGTCACTTGTGGCTGGCAGCTGTCACTGGACAGTGTAGATTCTAGAACATTTTCCCTAGACATTCTTGGATTAATATTATTGTTTTTAAAATAATAATTCATGGAAAGTCAATACAGGGAAATGGAGGTCCAACATTTTATTAGGTAATCGAGGGTTTCCAAAAAAAAAAAAATAAATAAAAAAAAAACTATTCAAAAGAGAGGTTAAAAAAAACCCAACTCAATGATAAATACACTATTTATAAATAAATAATTATAGTAGTTCATCTTCTGCAGCCTGGGATTTGGCCTCAGTCTAGCTCCCATCACACTCCTTTGCCTTAAATGGTTCCAAGCGATTCTCTTGCCTCAGCTTCCCAGGTAGCTGGGATTACAGGCATGAGCCATGATGCAGGGCAGATTTTTGTATTTTTAATAGAGATGAGGTTTCACCACGTTGGCCAGTTGGTCTCGAACTTCTGACCTCAGGTGATCTGCTCATCTCAGCCTCCAAAAGTGCTAGGATTACAGGTATGAGCCACTGTGCCCAGCTTACAGAGACCCTGTTTCTGAAAAAAAACAAAAAAAACCAAAAACAAACCCAAAACACTCGTGTTTTTCTTACGGCAATTTAGAATGCTCTTTTACTTCATGTGTAGCTAGCTGGTAAACACAGCTGTTTCCACCACCTATCTGTCCATCTGGAGAACCGCTCTGTTATCCCCATGTATAATGAGAAGAATTTTAATTTGACATCACTTGAATTATAATGTACCAACAGGAAGATTTAATCCTGGCACCCATTTCAGAAATGTGGTGGCCAAGATAAGATGCCTTTTATGTTACTTTTCATGTGAGCATTCAAGATCACACACGCGCCCTACTAAAGTTTCAAGAAAGGACTTACAAGTCTCACCTCTCCTTCTCTATGCCATGGTCTTCCATTAGGGATGTATTTGTTTGGGTTCTGTCTCTTTTTCTGTCCTCCATCCGCGAACTTACACAATAAAGGTTCTGTGGGGGCTAAGTAAACAGAGAAAAATAAAATGAAACCACAATTATATGTGGATGTGGATGGCAAAATGTATTTAAAAAATAGAATAGTGTTCATATTATAAGAAAATTCAGACAACACTTTTAGGCAAAAGTAGTTTACTCAGACCCTTGTAAAATTATCCAATGGTAAAAAACAGTGCAGAAAAAAGTACTAGTTATTACTTCTGAACCAGAGTGTAATCAAAACATTTAAAGAATTAATCTGAGGAAGCAAAGGATCTTTCAATTCACTTTCATGCTTAAAAGCAGACACATTTCTTTTTGTTTTGGGCCCTCTTCAATTCTACTTCTGGACTGACACCAAAATAATCTTCAAATGTAAATAGGATTGTGCCATCCTCCCCTTTCCCAACTTATAATGGTCTCACAGCTTCCCACTATAACTCCTAAGAGAGACATTCAGTTCTCCCAGTAGAAAACAAGCTGCCCCTACACGGCTCACACCATAGTTTTATTCACAGCATTTGTAACAACTGGTGAGTACGGTTACTTGTTTGGTGTCTGTTTCCCCTTCTAGACTATAAGCCTGGGGGGAGGTAACGTTGCCTGTTTTGTCCATCACTGTATCCCCACTGCCTAAGTGTCTAGACTTTGTAGTTGCTTATTACATCTTGGTTGCATCAACAAATGAATAGAAATAGGCCTCATTTGTTTATTTTTGGGATACGTCAGTGAAGATGGCTGTTATGAGAAAGCTAAAAATATTTGTCCACCCTATTTAAAGGTTTTTCTGTGCCTTTACTCAATTCCATTGGATACTGTTTTACTATATATCTATGTTTCACTGTATATAGATGTGTATATATTACTATATTACTGTATTTATAGTAATACTTTTAGTATTATATATTATAATACATATTACTATACATATAACACATATTACTATACATTATATAATGTAACATTACATATACAGTACTGTATAGTAAATCATTACTATACATATAGTATATGTAATGTTACATATTATATAATGTATAGTAATATATACACACTATATTACTATATATGGTACTACACACTATATACACTATATTACTATACATAGTAATATATAGTATTATATATAGTAATATAATCTTATACATAGTAATATAATATATAACTATATATATGTAGATATACAGTATATATATAGTAATATATAAGTATATATTACTGTACTATATATTATATGCTATATAATATACTTATCTATTATAGATCTATATATTTTTTAACTCTAATGAATATATATCCTTTAAAATAGCATCTACATCTTCTGCTTTTCTGTGAGGCAAACACAGAAGGCTGCAGTGAGCTATGACCACACCATGTGACCACACATCTGCTTTTCTGTGAGGCAAACACAAAAGCAGAAGATGTAGAGGCTATTCTAAAGGATATATACTCATCAGAGTTAAAAAGAAAAACAAAAAAAAAACTCTACAAACAGCACAATAGCACACCAGTGACTTTTCCTTTTCATTGCTTTCCTGCAATGGAAATAGCAGTGTATTCCCAAAAGTTGTGGATTTTTCCATTTCTAGATAATGTAATAAAGGCAATCACACCTTCCTGTCTGGTTCCCACATTCTGTCCTTTGTCTACTATAGAACCATGATTACTACTTTCAAGTTCTGTTTCAAAGTTAAATAACCACGTAGAGAAAAATATTACTTGTGGAAAATTTACTCCTTTCTCCTGTGCCTCTTATTATCCTAATTCATCTCTTATTTTATTTCACGATTACCCACCCACTAATGACAGGGTGGAAGCAGTAGTGTCTCTCAACACTTCTCTGCCAAAAAACAAAACAAAACAAAACAAAAAGCCCAACTGAAACTCCTCCTGGGTGAGCTGTCTGGGCTGCTGCCTGGCACTCCTTTCTTCTTTCCCTGGTACGAACCACTCCGGAGGGATGGGTTGGAATGCCAACTCACTTCTGAATGACAACTGGACTATGGGTATGAGGAGTTAGGAACAAAAATGTTAGGTGTCTGGTGAGAATATCAGCAAGCCTTGGCCCAATCATTCACAGAGGCCCTTTCTCTATCTTCTGACTCCATCCCTGCCCCCTTTCCTGAACAAGGAACTTCCATTTAAGGCAAAGGGGTGTGATGGGAGCTGGACTGAGGCCAAATCCCAGACTGCAGATGAACTACACTATTCATCTTTTCAAAAAAAAAGGCTCTGACTTTGGAAATTTCTACCTTCACCAGCAATCACAGAAGGTAAATAAATAGATGCTATGAGGCAAGAGAGCTTCCTAATCACTGATGATACTTTTAACTCTACAATCAGACTCTTAAGAGACAGATGGAAACTAGGGCTGAAAATGCAGAGCTTCCAAGAAGGAGAGTGGGAATGGTAAACCGTTAAGACTTACTTCATACCTGGAATAAATTACCAGTCATCCTTGCCTTTGCAGGCAACGACAACAACAACAAAAAATGCTGCTTACAATTCCAGTACTGAGACTCCCCTTGATCTCCTGGATCAATGTGTAAGCAGATGCATGTGTATGTCTAGAAGGGTCTGTGTTGCTTGGGGGATGCCTCACCTTGATATCTATGGACAAATCAAGAATTCAGATGGAGAGAAGCAAGATCCCACTCTTCACAGATCTAGAGAAGTTTATCCACTGACATTTGAGGTTTTAAGATGCTTACTCCACATAATCTCATAGAGAAAGAGAGAAGATAATAAATTCTGTGGTGCTGGCACATAGTGGGTCTTCTCTAAAAGAGATGCTTTTATCTAGATGGTTTATGAAAACTAAGTCCTAGACTGAAATTTTTTTTTTTTTAAGATGTTACTTGGCTCAGCAAGTGATGCCAACTGGCTATTTTCTTCCATTAGCATAATTTCTTTCAGAGACAGTAAATGATCAGGTTGGACTCATTCTAGAAGTTCAGCTCAGGCCACCCAAACAGGCAGGTGTGAATGAAAGCAGGTAAGCAGCCAGACCCTGGTGCCTGCCTAAGCTGAGCATGTGCTGAATGACCAAGTGTCCCTATCTGTGGATAAGGTGCTTCTAACACATGTTTCTTCATCTAGACTCTGGCCTGTCATAGAAAAAGAAATCTCAGGTGACAATAAAGCCTGCTAAAAATGTGTAATGATGAGGTAAACATCAAGGGAGTGATGGCATGTTTGCAAATAGATCATTTAAAATGAAACAAATAAAAGAGGATGTAGCTGAATCTTTCAAAAAATGAATTACATTTACTACATGATTCTACACTGTCATTAAGCTATTTTTTTCCCCTCTAAAAGCAAAAAGGGAAGTAGTTACAATAGTTTGTATACTGGCATGCATCCCGTATCTTAGGAAAACAAGCTTTTTAAGAATTATAACCAGTAAAAGTGACACATTTCTGAGATAGCTGCTGGCTGCTTGTTTCGGGGAAATCGGAGTACCCCAATATTCCATGTGGAGCAATATAAAATTCGAACAGCTTCTTTCCCCTTTAAAATTCTCTTTGGTCTATTTAACCATCAAAAATTTAACTTAATGTCTACTAATGTGCCAAGTACAAAAGAGTTGGGGACACAGTGGTGGATAAAACAGGGTCCTTGTGTCCTTGGGGCTTGCAGTTTAATGCAGAAGAGAGTGTACCTAATCTCATGAAAATCCATTTAGTCATTTATGGAATAGAGCATTGTCTTTAGAGGGATTTGTTTTCAATAAAAATGCTACCCAGAAGCAAAATACTTTTGATGCAGAAACATCTGTAGTTCTTTGACAATTGCTGTTCCATTTACTTGAATGACATTATTAGAAACAGCTTTTCCCTGTAAGTTCTTAATGTTTTATTCATTAAAAATGTTGTCCATCTGCCCCAGGAAAGCAAATTACATGAAGATTTAAGAATTTTTTTGGTATTTTAGGTGGCAAAAGGGCCTGATTTACTCTAATTGATATATGGTCTTACCATGATGTTCAGTGAGGGTTAGATGATCTCAGTTAGATTTTTAGGTAAGAAAAACAAACAAAACACACAGATGTCATGACCCATTTATTTTTAAGTGTGTGTGAGCTTGTTACAAAATGAGAGATCCTCATTTAGCCAGCATCTCCTGTGGCTTCTGCCAAACCAGTGGTAGTCCCTGGTTTGCCTTTTGGAGCCAAATACACAGGTTCCAGGTTGAAGAACTGGGAGATCCTATGTGATGGTAGCTTGTTCTATAGAGTGGACCTTTTAGCTGAACTCCAATTGTTTTTTTTACAAGGTAGAGATACTGGAAGACTGGCAAGCAGAAAAGGAAGTGCCATAAATACTAGTCATATGACTCTGAGTGATAGGTAAGTTTGGGCAAATTAACATAAAAAATTAATATGTAACTGTCAAACTTCTATATGTATGGTTAATTTTCCAGATTAGCAACTTTTTGCCTTGTTCTACAAAGCAATGATTACAAAGCATTCTGACAAATCATTTGTGATTTAAGATGTATTCCTGTATGAAAGTACTATAAAAATTATATAACCTACCCTTAAATCAACTGATTTTGCCAAATATGCAGAGTATTCTAGGCTAGATTTCCCTTTAATTAGTTAGTCGTGATCTTTTGGGTTTGTAAAGGGATTCTCATTCTCATCACCCAAGACTAAAGAGTTATTTTCCTGTTCATCAGAACCAACGGGAACATGCATCTCCAACAGCTTGACAACTGCAGTGTTACCTTGAGCATCTGCTGAAGGCCACAGGCAACACTGCAAGTGCAAACACTGATCTAATATTTTCTGGCATCTCTTAAGAGCCATCTAAGGTAATCATGTTACTGGATTCTCCAATGGGCTCTCAACAGAGATTTGACAGTGGGATGATCTCTTATACAAGCCTGATTTTGTGGTACTAACAGTCTCTCCCAAGAGACTGTGAACTCCATGGGTAAGGCTCAGGTTGGCTGACTTGCTGCACATCTCCACCAAGTATTTTCTGAACCGATCTTCTGAAACTTAACTCTACAGTGATTTG